GGCGACGCGTCGAACCGTGTCCTGAATGTATTCGGGGAGAGGTTTAACAGGACCCTTTGCCCCCGTACCCAGCTGTACTTCCACCGGCGGCACATTCTCGCGGCCGTACATGAGAAAAAATGGAGAATAACCAGTGGACGCATGAGGCGTCATCCGATACGCGGAGAGTACCCCAGGTATATGCAAGTCCTAATCAGCTTGTTTCTCCTCAACCGTGTGACATAGCATGGCCGACAGCGTCCGATTAAGGCGTTCCACCATGCCATCCGTCTGCGGGTGGTAAGGAGACGTACGAACCTTCTTGGTTCCCAGAGCAGCGCACACTTCCGCCAACAATTTGGAAGAAAAATTTCGCCCCTGATCCGTGAGTAGCCTCTCCGGTGCCCCTTTGTCCATCACATATCCAAATAGGAAGGCGTCCGTGATAGACGCCACCGACTGGTCGGGTAAGGGCCAAGCCTTCGGCCAGCGGAAAAGATATTCCACTCCGACCAGCAAATATTTATTACCCCTAGCGGATGGCGGGAAAGGTCCCAAAATATCCAGCGCCACCAACTCGTTGATTCGAGACACCTGTATAGACTGCACCGGCGGCACGTAAGGGTTTTTAGGCGGCTTCCGCTGGGCACATTCGGGACACGCCCAAATGTGTCTGACGACATCCGTCGTCATGCCGTGCCAGAAGCAGTCTCGCTGTAATGTTAACAAAGTCTTCTGCACCCCGAGATATAATAAAGTGTCGCCGTGCAGAGTCCGAATCAATTCGTACCGTAGCGACGACGGTACTACCAGATGCCAGCGGTCATGCAATCCCTCTCTCCACATGAGCAACCCATCCCGGAGAGCGGCCCCCGGTATCCCACCAGACAGCAATCTCCCCGCTCCCTTCGCTCCCTTCGCGAATCCATACCGAGAGCGGCAGGTTCAGAACCCCATCGGCTGGTCCTGGGCACACCGGAGCCCCAGGCACCTTGACAGCTGATACAACAGGCCGAGGGGGTAGCTGAACCGGCGTACACCTATTCGTACCCAACGCGCAAGCACAAGGGGACCCCTGCGGTAATCTGGAGAGTGCGTCCGCATTTGCGTGACGCGACCCCTTCCGATATTGTATGTCGAAGGAAAATTCCTGCAGGGTCTCCAACCATCGTGCCAGTTGGCCAGATGGTTGGTCAACCCTCAGGGCATATTGCAGAGCCGCATGGTCCGTGCGCACAATAAATGACCAGCCGTAAAGATACGGCCGATATTGGCGGAGGAAATAGACAATAGCCAATAATTCGCGGCGAGTGACGCAGTAGCGGGTTTCTGCCGGGGACAGTACACGGCTACCGTAGGCTACCACGTGCTCCACGCTGCCCTTGGACTGTGACAGAACGGCCCCAATCCCAGTGTCACTAGCGTCCGTATCCAGAATAAAAGGTCGATCAAAATCCGGATAGTCCAATGTCGGCGCCGTCGCCAACCGATCGCGTAGGCCCTGAAACGCCGCTTCCTCCGGCGGACCCCAACTGAACCTCCGACCCTTACCCGTAAGGAGGTGCAAGGGCCTAGCGATCATAGCAAAGTTCGGGATGAACCTGCGATAGTATGAGGCGAACCCCAAGAAGCGACGTACGTCCCCAACCGAGGCCGGGGTTGGCCAGTTGCGGACGCACGCCGTCTTCTCCGGGTCCGTGGCCACCCCGTCCGCACTGACTATGTGTCCCAAATAACGCGCGGACCGTTGCAGTAGGTGACACTTTTTCGGTTTGAATTTTAAATTTGCGGAGCGCATCCTAGCAAAAACCGTCTCCAATCTCTGCAAATGTTCGTCAAATGTGCGGCTAAAGACGATGACATCGTCTAAATAAATCAAACATGTCTCCCACTGCAGACCCGTTAACACCAGCTCCATCAACCGCTGAAAAGTGGCGGGAGCCGCATTCAAGCCCATCGGAAGGCAATTAAACTGAAACAGTCCCTGCGGCGTGCGAAAAGCCGTCTTTTCCCTTGAGGACTCGTCAAGGGGAAGCTGCCAGAATCCCGAAGAGAGATCCAATGTTGAAAAAAACTTCGCCCCAGACAAGGCATCGAGGGAATCATCCATACGCGGAAGTGGGTACGCGTCTGCGACGGACACCTTATTCAATTTCCGAAAATCGATGCAAAATCGCAGTTTCCCATCCTTCTTCTTCACAAGGACTACCGGCGCGCCCCATGGACTGTTAGACGGGGATATAATGTCAGCGGCCAGCATATCCTCCACTGCTCCGCGAACCTGATCCCGCTCCGTCGGGCTCAACCGATGCGAGTTCAACCGAATTGGAGCGGCATCCCCCGTATCAATGTGGTGGGAAAGCAGGGAGGTGCGTCCCAAGTCAAAATCATCCGAGCTGAACACGTCGGAATAACTTAGCAACAGCGCGTGAAGGGCGGACTGTTGCTCTCTGGTCAGGGATGAATTCTCCCCGCATAACTCGGCAACCCAACGGTCATCCTGCCCCGTTGGCCCCGAAACCCCCCCTACCATGTCCCGGCGGACCCGGTTGTCATGGGTCGTGAACGCGGTCGTGGCGTGAGCCACAACCGTTCCGGCCGGGACACTGACATTCTCTGCACTCCCATTTAGCACCTGTAAGAACGGGGGCTGGCCCAGCCGGACAATTGTTTGTGCCCCAACCAGCGCCGAGCCGCTCGTTATAGCCATGGACGGCGATAACAAAACCCCCGCCGCTCCCTCAACGCCAGGTACTGGCTTCCGATATATCAATGGGATAAGCATCTGCGAACCAGGTGGAATGTCAACAGATACCTCGGACCGCGCCTACACCCGGCAAACAGGGGCAGGCCGGCCCCATGGCGATGGTAGGAACAAATTTTGCGCCCCCCTGGTAATTCAATGCAGTTTTGATCAATCCTTATTTGAATGGGCATTTTTGCCAGGAAATCAGTCCCCAACAAACAGGGTACCGCGAGGGACCTAGAGATCAACACGGTCCCTGAAGCCGACACCCCCCCAATGGATATGTTGGCGTCCACCTGGCCCACAATGCCCATACTTCCCCCGTTCGCCGCTATGCATGAATCATAAACCGCTCGCACTATCCCTGGCGGAATGCCCAAAAGATGGAAAATGACATCCGAAATAATGGTCGCGGACGCACCAGAGTCCGCCAAAATACGCACCGCGACCCCCTGAATGGAACCCGGTACCATGGACGACCGCGTAGCGGCCGCAACTACCCTCCGTGCCAATCGGCGCCATTGCGTCAGCGAGTGACACGGGTCAACCGGAGGCACCTTGCTGTTAATGACACATGGACTGCGCGGCGATGGTGATGCATGAGGTGACAGGCCTTGCCGGGTGTCTGGTGCGCACCAACTTGCCTGTCCTGGTGGGTCTTTTCGCGCGACGTCCGTGGTCGAGGCCTCCTGCTGGGGTGGCCCCGGGATGTGAGCCCAACAGTCCCTGGCGAAGTGGCCCTTACAGCCGCAGCGGAAACACTCCACGTCGTTCCGACGCACGGCACCCCCCCTGTCCCGACACTCCCGCGCCGGCGGCCCAGACCTCGGCCCCGTCCCCCCCCGAGCAGGCCACTGGGTGGAGGCGGCTGTCAACTCCTGCGGACCCTTGTCGTCAGGAACGTAGATCGCCTTCGTAGGATCCCACCCCGTAGCACCGCCTTCAACAACGGGCCCCCCCGTCCAAGCTGACACCTGCTTCCAGCGTCGGAGATTAAATTGAGCGTCCAAGCACTTAGCCACAGCACGGGACATCAATTTATCATGGCTGCACACCGGCATGGGGATCCCCAGGTCTCCAGATAATTCGAGCATTTTGCCCAACACGAGGGGCACCAACAAATCGGGCTCCGTCTCGGGGTATGCCGCCATCGCCAGTTCCAGAACTGCACCTCTGAAGGCCACCGGCGATTCATCAGGCGTCCGTTGGCGCTGAACAAATCTCCGATGGGCGTTGTCCGGAGGCTCGTACGCATCCGCCAACTCCTCGAAGACACCCTGCAGCGTCTTCTTCTTGTTGGTCTTGATGGAGTGAAAGAACCGGACGGGCTCGTCGTCGAGAAGTGTGGGTAAGACTTCCAGGGCCTCCGCGTCCGTCCATTTGGCGGAGCGTACGGCCGCTTGAAAACAGCAGGCGAATGCGCTCCAATCGCCGCCGATTGAGAATTCTTTGACCGTTGTTAAATGACGGCTGCAGGTTCTTGCTCCTCCGTCCTCCTCCGATGGACACGCGCGGCAGCGACAAGATGGCGTCGCTCCGCAACGTGTGCAAGATGGCGGCTTCCCGCGGCGGAGGGCGCAAGATGGCGGCTTCCCGCCGTTCTTCCTCGGCCATGCCCAAGATGGCGTCTTCGTGCGGCGTGGTCGAGAGGGCTGATGGCGATGGCAAGGCCCCGGCCCGTTGTTCCTCGCCGGGCCTCCCCGAAGTCGTCGCCGGCGTCACGAGGATGCACAATTGCGCCAACACCGTCTTCAGCGCTTCCAGTTGCGCCGCCACCTGTCACCATCCGTCGTCAGCGTCCAGTCGTACGGATGGGCCCACCGAGGCGGTCACGTCCTGCACGGCTGGAACTCCGCTCATCCCCGCTCCGCTTTCCTCCTCCATCGTGGGTAGCGCCACCGCTGGAGGGAGGTCGTCGTCGGAAGATGTTGCTGAAGATGGTGCAGGGACGGTCTTCTACCTGAGCTGTTTTGACATGCCGTTTCACTTCTGACACCAATGTAATAAAGGACTCTCTCTCAGATGTCAATCTCCATTGTCCTTTATTGGGTTCATAGAATCTCGATACCACGGCGTCTCGCTCAGGCCCGCGTCCCACTCGACGACCTCTCCACAGCCCTCGGCTGCTCCGTTATGCAGTCTCCCTGCTGCTCCTATATGCAGTCTCCCTGCTGCTCCTTCAGGCAATCCTTGCAGCCACACGCTGCCCTGCTGTCTAGCGTCACTGCCACAGCTAGCCTCTCACTGCCCCGTTAGCGCTCTTCGTCTGACACCGATGGCTGTCGGTGTCGACGTCTCCCACCGCGTGGCGACCGCGCCACTCTTTCCGTCTTGCCCAGCGTGGCCTCCTCGTGTTTGACTCCGTCTCAACTCCCCCTTCGCCTTCCGGTTCTCTCCCTAAATCCTCTCCCCCACGTGACCCTAACTCCACCCACTCCCTACGTGACCCACACTCCGCTCCCCCTCAATCCTTGCTCGCATTACATTACTCCTTCACGCTGCTGACAGACCGGCAGAGCCAATCATTGTAACGAGGTGTGATCCCATCAGCAACCCGGATATATCCTCACATTACACAGCCACCAACACAAGACAGCACACCCCCCAAACCCCCCCACCCCACCCCCCAACCCCCCCCACCCCCCAACCCCACCCCCCAACCCCCCCACCGCACCCCCCCTCCCAGACTCGCACCCCCCCCCCCGCAGTAAACACGAAGCTCTGACTGAGAGCAGTTATCGCCGCTAAATTTACTCCGCGATGAGAGAAGGCGAGAGGGGGCCGCGGCTCTCGGCGAGTTTGGGGGAAAGAATGGGGGGGGATAGGAGGAGTGGGGTGATGAGGAGAGGGGAGGGGAGGGGGTGTAGGAGGGGAGGGGGGTGATGAGAGGGGAGGGGGTGGAGGGGAGTGGGGTGATGAGGAGAGGGGAGGGGTTGTAGGAGAGGAGGGGGTGATGAGGAGTGGGGTGATGAGGGGAGGGGGTGTAGGAGGAGGGGGGTGATGAGGAGTGGGGTGATGAGGAGAGGGGAGGAGGTGTAGGAGGGGAGGGGGGTGATGAGGGGAGGGGAGTGGGTGTAGGAGGGGAGGGGGGTGATGAGGGGAGGGGAGTGGGTGTAGGAGGGGAGTGGGGTGATGAGGAGAGGGGAGTGGGTGTAGGAGGGGAGGGGGGTGATGAGGGGAGGGGAGTGGGTGTAGGAGGGGAGGGGGGTGATGAGGGGAGGGGAGTGGGTGTAGGAGGGGAGTGGGGTGATGAGGAGAGGGGAGTGGGTGTAGGAGGGGAGGGGGGTGATGAGGGGAGGGGAGTGGGTGTAGGAGGGGAGGGGGGTGATGAGGGGAGGGGAGTGGGTGTAGGAGGGGAGGGGGGTGATGAGGGGAGGGGGGTGATGAGAGGGGAGGGGGTGGAGGGGAGTGGGGTGATGAGGAGAGGGGAGGGGTTGTAGGAGAGGAGGGGGTGATGAGGAGTGGGGTGATGAGGGGAGGGGGTGTAGGAGGAGGGGGGTGATGAGGAGTGGGGTGATGAGGAGAGGGGAGGAGGTGTAGGAGGGGAGGGGGGTGATGAGGGGAGGGGAGTGGGTGTAGGAGGGGAGGGGGTGGACGAGGGGAGGGGGGTGATGAGGGGAGGGGAGTGGGTGTAGGAGGGGAGGGGGGTGATGAGGGGAGGGGAGTGGGTGTAGGAGGGGAGGGGGTGATGAGGAGAGGGGAGTGGGTGTAGGAGGGGAGGGGGGTGATGAGGGGAGGGGAGTGGGTGTAGGAGGGGAGGGGGTGATGAGGAGAGGGGAGTGGGTGTAGGAGGGGAGGGGGGTGATGAGGAGAGGGGGTGTAGGAGGGGAGGGGGTGGACGAGGGGAGGGGGGTGAAGAGGGGAGGGGAGGTGGTGATGAGGAGTGGGGTGATGAGGAGAGGGGAGGGGGTGATGAGGAGAGGGGAGGTGGTGATGAGGAGTGGGGTGATGAGGAGAGGGGAGGGGGTGATGAGGAGAGGGGAGGGGGTGATGAGGAGAGGGGATGATGAGGGGGTGGAGGTGACCCATGGGAGGGAGGAAACGGCGAATTATCGGGAGGAATTTGGCGGCAGGTGGAGAGCGCGCGAGGCGGGGCAGGAAGTGGGCGTGGCGATGAGGGGGAGAAGCGGACAGGTGAGAGAGCAGCAATCTCCGTCGCATGCACACACAAAGACAAAGAGTCACCGTGTAGCCCTCGACAGATCGCTGGGGCAAGTGCTGCCCAACACCACGCCCCCTTTTTTCTCTCCAATGCACATGTTTACACCAGGTCATAATTTCAGGCCAAGTCGACCTAGGAGAGGCCCTGTACCGGTTCAGATAATCGTCACTGCCATTGCTCTTGAGCGATAATACGAGGGGGTGGGTGGCCAACGCCACGCCCGGCCGTCTTTGTCTCCCCAGCGCCGCTGACGAACAAAAATGACAAATATATATTAAAAAAACTCTGCGGTCAGTGTGCAGAGACTGTGGTCACCACCCAGAACAGAACCATAGGGAGCCGATGATGATCACTCAATGCCCCATTCACAACTCGGTTAGAGGCATCATCATCATCATCACGGCGACGATTCGCCACTCCGCTCCTCGGGGCGCGTGTAGAATTACAGCTGCTGTTCGACATCAACGTGAGCCGCACCAAGACGAGCCGCACCAAGACGAGCCGCACCAAGGCGAGCCGCACCAAGACGTGTCCCACCAAGACGAGCCGCACCAAGACGAGTCCCACCAAGACGTGTCCCACCAAGACGAGTCCCACCAAGACGAGTCCCACCAAGACGCGTCCCACCAAGACGTGTCCCTCCAAGACGTGTCCCACCAAGACGAGTCCCACCAAGACGTGTCCCCCCAAGACGTGTCCCACCAAGACGTGTCCCACCAAGACGAGTCCCACCAAGACGAGTCCCTCCAAGACGTGTCCCACCAAGACGTGTCCCCCCAAGACGTGTCCCACCAAGACGTGTCCCACCAAGACGTGTCCCTCCAAGACGTGTCCCACCAAGACGTGTCCCACCAAGACGTGTCCCTCCAAGACGTGTCCCACCAAGACGTGCCCCTCCAAGACGAGTCCCACCAAGACGTGTCCCACCAAGACGTGTCCCTCCAAGACGAGTCCCACCAAGACGAGTCCCACCAAGACGATTCCCACCAAGACGTGTCCCTCCAAGACGAGTCCCACCAAGACGTGTCCCACCAAGACGTGTCCCACCAAGACGAGTCACACCAAGACGAGTCACACCAAGACGAGTCCCACCAAGACGTGTCCCACCAAGACGAGTCCCACCAAGACGTGTCCCACCAAGACGTGTCCCACCAAGACGTGTCCCACCAAGACGTAAATAAAACGATTCGTGAAGACTGCCTGCTCACCCCAAAAAATCTCGAGTCGCAAGTCTCTTTTTCTAGTCTCAAGACTTCCTTAATTCTAGGAGGGTTAAATTTCGATTTGAAGCTTTCGTGACTGCAGGGATTAATCTTTTTGGTTCTTTCGGTAAAGTCACGTAGAATTGAAATAATAAAATAATAAAAATAAAACATAATAAAATAATTCTCACGACGTTTCGGCCACAACGCAAGTAGCCGTCCTCAGGTGGAGAACAGGTCTGTCGAGGAGACAGAGTCTGAAGTCTCCTCGACAGACCTGTTCTCCACCTGAGGACGTCGTGAGAATTATTTATTATGTTTTATTTTTATTATTTTATTATTTCAATTCTACGTGACTTTACCGAAAGAACCAAGAAGATCTAGGAGGGTGTTGCCAAAATTTGTAATACGAGGCGATGCTGCTGCTCTCTGTGGGGCGCCACGGTGGCTAGGAGATGTTAACTCCCTCGCCTGGTATGCCGGAGGTCGTCGGTTCGATCCTGACCCCGACGCCTGCTGTATATTTGGAGTTTGCGTGTCTCTCTCATCATCACGTTGGCTAGGAGATGTTAACTCCCTCGCCTGGTATGCAGGTCGTCGGTTCGATCCTGACCCCGACGCCTTCCATGAATGTACACGTGGTACGCCACTCAAATTGAGCTGTCATTTGTGGGCAGGTCGCTTCAGAAAATAGATATAGAGCTGGGTGGGTCTCTAACCTGGTTAAATAGTTAGTCTAATAATGCAATCCCAAACGAGTAATTTTCACATATTTTACAATTGTCAGCAGGAGGGATGTTTGTCCAACACCACGCAGCTCCATTATTTGTTTGGTTTAACACGGCAAGTAGAGGAAGGGGGCGTCAGAAGTGATGCTGTCTATTTGACAAGCAGGAGGAGTGAGGAGGGAGGAGGATGGAGGAGGAGGGAGGAAGGATGGAGGAGGGAAGAGGATGGAGGAGGAGGAGGGGAAAGAAGAAGAGGAGGAGGATGGAGGACGAGAGGATGGAGGAAGGATTGAGGAGAAGGGAAACTCTCCTCGTTCCGTGCAAAGCTCGGGATGAAAGCGCGTGTTCCGGCGAGCAGACCGAGTGGTATTTACAATCCACAATTTACATACTCCCGACTCCCTATCAATTACGCGGATGCGGGTCCCGCGGGAGGGGGGAGGGGCGCGTTATTTACTGCGGCCCGGATGTGGCTGTGCGCGCGCGTGCGCGCTCACGCGGCCATCCCGTACTCACAAAGACAAAGATCCCCCGTGTAGCCTTCAACAGACCGTTGGGGCAAGTGCTGTTAGCGAGTAGCACCCATCATGGCCGGCACGTCATACGAAGGGGTGGGTTGTGCCACAACATGCTCGGTCGACCTTTCTCTCCCCAGTGCTGATGGTCACCGACCGGGTACTCCCTGAAGGCTGAAATCCGACGTAGGAGAGAGCCGGAGCACGTTCAGATATTCAGCGCTGTTACTTGGTCGCGAGCGGCAATCGAACTCGGGTCGTCGGGTTTGTAGCGCCGTGCGCTAACCACTCAACGCTACCGCTCCCCACGTATGCACACAAAGATCCCCCGTGTAGCCTGTAACAGACTGTCGGGGCAAGTGCTGTCAGCGAGCAGCACCTATGAAGGCCGGCACTGTTGCACACGAGGGGGTGGGTGGCCAACACCACGTGTGCACACAGACGCACCGACACATACACGCTGTGGGCATACGCACAGCCACGCCGAGGCACAAATCATATTCCACATACGAGCCCAAAAAAATAAAGATCCCTCGTCTCAACTTACCAAGCGATGAGGCACATAGACGCACGTATCCACACGCATGTTCACGCACACACATGTTCACGCACACACATGTTCACGCAATTATATAAACGCGCGCACACGTAAACACGCACGCGTTCACAGATACACACCCACAGCTACAAACTCGCACAAAAAGACAAACATCTCCCGTATAGCCCTAACAGACTGTTGGGGCAAGTGGTATTAGCGATAAGCACCTTCGAACACACACAAAGACAAAGATCTCCCGTATAGCCTGTGCAGACTGTTAGGGCAAGTGCTGTTAGCGAGTACTTATGAAGGCTGGAACGGTACACGAGAGGGTGGGTGGCCAACACCACGCCCGACCGCCTTTGTCTCCCCAGTGGCGATGTTTACACACCTCACCAGGTACTCATCTGAAGCAGCCTAGGACCGGTTCAGAAAATCGTCACTGGTGTTGGCCATGAGCTGGAATCGAACCCAGGTCGCCGGGTTCATAAAGCAGCGCGCTAACCGCTACGCAACCCCCCCCCCCACACACGGTCACAAAAACAACACGCGTCATTCGCCCAGATGTTGGCGGTGACGTCACCACAGCACTTGTGCCAGGCTAGGTGCACTTCGAGGGCACGCGAAGTGTGGAAGGCTCTCGCTGCTGGCGGGTCACGTGACCGACCCAGGTGCCGTGGGCTGATTGACGGAGATGACTGGCACGGCTACCAGCGGTGCTCCCCGCGGTGCCACACGCCACGTGCAGCGGCAGCGTCGTGGCCAGCGCACTGCGCTACGAACCCGGCGACCCGAATTCGATTGTCTGAACCGGTCGGGGGCGTCCACTAGGTCGACTCAGCCTCAAAATTAGTCCGCATCGCCAATAGGGAGACAAAGGCGGCCGGGCGTGGGGCTGGTCACCGACCCCGTCTTGTGCCGTTCCGGCATTCATAGGTGATCGCTAACAGCACTTGCCCCTACAGTCTGTTAAGGCCACACATCACACACACCAATCCACAGGTACACACTGACACTCGCGCATGCGCGTGTCAGATTGTTGGGCCAGGTGATGTCAGCGAGCACCTCCTATGAAGGCCGGCACGGCACACGAGGGGGTGGGTGGCCAACACCACGCCCGGTCGCCTTCGTCTCACACCACACCAGGTACACATTGGAGGCTGAGTCGACCTAGAAGAGGTCCAGATAATCGTCACTGGTTTTGGCCGTGAGCGTAAATCGAACTCGTTACGCCAGGTTCGCAGCGCAGCGCGCTAACCGCTCCACTGCCGCTCCACAAACACACGCAGACACACACACGCAGACACACACACGCAGACACACACACAGACACACACACACACAGACACACACACAGACACACAGACAGACACACAAACACACGCAGACACACACACACAGACACACACACAGACACACACAGACACACACACAGACACACAGACAGACACGTACGCACACTCACGTGGCTGGGCCAGGGTAAGCCGCAAAGAGTGCCACGAGTGGAGGAATCTCTTCATCTCCCGCGTCTTCCCCAATGCCCCCTCCCCGCTCAAGCCCGCACGCGCCCCGCCCCCGTCATTGGGCTCGATGTGGAGGCGGTAATGAACACGCAGTTGAGGATTGAGGGTCCCAAATTACAGACGAGTGGGGGGGGGGGCAAGGGGGTGGCGAGGAGGGTTGATGGAGAGGGCCTTGGCAGGGGAGGTGTGGTCCGGATTGAGGGCCTCAGGCCCGTTGGGATCCTGCGCACAGTAAACAAAGGGGGACACCACCTAATATGGGGGGGGGGGCGTGGAGGGGGGGGACTTGGGGGGGGGGCTATCCACACATGAGGCGTCGACTGCGCAACTAATGCGAGATCTGGCATAAGGAAGGAAGCGATGGCTTGGTGTGTGTGCGGAGAGGAGGGGGGGGGGGGGTAGAAGGCACGTGGCGTGGTGAACGGCTCCCCGAACAATGCCGACGAGCTGCCTCTGAAAGGGGGGCCAGGCGGGGGCAGGCCTCCCCCCTCGACAGGCCGAGGCCCACGGGCACGAGACGGTGTCTTTGCTCGTCGGCTCCCGTCGCCTCTCACGTGCAGGTCACATTGATGATTGCAATTCCACTTCAACTCCAACCGGACGCCACAATGTCGAGGTGTTAACTACCCCGCCCGCTATGCAGGAGGTCGTGGGTCTCAATCCCGACCCTGACACCTGGATGTATTTGGAGTTTGTCACTCTTACCGTGGTGGGGTGGACTTTTTTTCCGGCTGTTCCGGGTTTTCCCTAAACATTTGCAAACAAGCGTTTAGTATATTTGGTTGATATAATTGTCCACACGATATGCCGCGTCATTTAGCGATCATTTGTGGCCAGGTCGCTTATGAAAAAGAGCGATATAGCTCAGTGGGCCGTACCTGGTCAAATAAAACTAGTTTTTAGTTAGTTATTAGCCAGAGAACCCATCAGTCGCCAGAGGTAATAGCCAATCACCAGCCAGAGAACCCATCAGTCGCCAGAGGTAAGAGCCAATCACCAGCCAGAGAACCCATCAGTCGCCAGAGGTAAGAGCCAATCACCAGCCAGAGAACCCATCAGTCGCCAGAGGTAATAGCCAATCACCAGCCAGAGAACCCATCAGTCGCCAGAGGTAAGAGCCAATCACCAGCCAGAGAACCCACCAGTCGCCAGAGGTAAGAGCCAATCACCAGCCAGAGAACCAACCAGTCGCCAGAGGTAAGAGCCAATCACCAGCCAGAGAACCCACCAGTCGCCAGAGGTAAGAGCCAATCACCAGCCAGAGAACCCACCAGTCGCCAGAGGTAAGAGCCAATCACCAGCCAGAGAACCAACCAGTCGCCAGAGGTAAGAGCCAATCACCAGCCAGAGAACCCACCAGTCGCCAGAGGTAAGAGCCAATCACCAGCCAGAGAACCCACCAGTCGCCAGAGGTAAGAGCCAATCACAGCCAGAGAACCCACCAGTCGCCAGAGGTAAGAGCCAATCACCAGCCAGAGAACCCACCAGTCGCCAGAGGTAAGAGCCAATCACCAGCCAGAGAACCCACCAGTCGCCAGAGGTAAGAGCCAATCACCAGCCAGAGAACCCACCAGTCGCCAGAGGTAAGAGCCAATCACCAGCCAGAGAACCCACCAGTCGCCAGAGGTAAGAGCCAATCACCAGCCAGAGAACCCACCAGTCGCCAGAGGT